GCTGGCTCCGAGGCAGGACAGCAGGGCACAGGGGCCTGAGGGAGGGGAAGCTGCTCATGCCATGGTGGACAGGAAGTAGAGAGATCAAAGGAGGAGCTGGGGCCTGAGATAACCCTTCCTGGCCACACCCAGAGTGACCCCTCCTAGGACTAACCCGGTCTCCCAACAGCTGTAAATCCCTGCATATAACCGCATGAGGCTTAGGGGGACATCTGAATATAAACTAATCGTAATCAATGCAATATTGAAAAGTCTTAGGGTCCGGGATGTAGCTTAGTGACACCGTGCCTGCCTGGCAAGCGCAAGATCCTGAGTTCGATTCCCGGTACACGAAAAAAAAAGTCCTAGTCCTGGTTTATGCCACAGAAAGTTTGCTTAAAGTGTTAAGCTGCAGCTCAGTAAATCTGCCCACATTTTAAACCCATTTGATATTCATTTTTAAGGCTGAGATTACAGTGCCAAAATCCATTCATCTGTATGGTTAGTAGCTTGGGGCTTCCTGCTCAGAGTCAGTACACACTGAGGTCCCCCAGGGGCGCCCTGCAGTTCCCAGCACAGTTTAGCCAGTGACACTGGGTCTCCACACCCTCCTTGGGAGCAGACCAGGCAGGCACAGAGGGGCCTTCGTCACTGGGAGGGGAAGCGGCTGAACAAGGACACCCCTGGCTACTGTCCCCAGGGCTGCTGGGGATACAGGCAGAGTCCTGCTGTGTGCATGAGGGGCTGGGTCACCCGGACACCCCACTCTCTTAGCACCCAGTACCCATCTGGCCCCCTGACCCATGGTGTTGGGCCAGCATAGGAAACGGAAGCTCAGGCACATTACATAAGAGCGCGCGCGCACACACACACACATACACACCCACCATGAAACAGACAAGCCACAAAGCCAAACAGAAGACTTCAATGTACATCCCCAAGCCAGTTTTCAGCCTCCTTATTATACCTCTGAGGCTGTCCCTGTCTCTGAGGCTGACATCCCTCAAGCCGAGGGACAAGCAGGCAGAGGGCCACAGGCTGTGCTGCAGCAGGTCAGTGTCCCCGGGGTGGCTGATGCCCCAGCGGGGCCATCAGCGACAGCAGGCCACCTCAGCAGGGCAGGGCACTCGCCTCCCACCTCTCCCGCCTCGACAGCCTGCGTTCCAGCTTCCGCCCCACCCAGCACAGCCTGACTTTCTTGGCCCGGCATCCCTCCCGGGCACGGACAGGTCCCATGGTAACCCCCTGCTCTGTGATGTCCCCACATCCTCCCCATGTACTCTACGGGGCCCTGTCCTGGGTCAGGACTCCACTCTGCCATCTGATAGACAATTCGGCCGTGTGAGGGAATTTCCATCACTCGTCTCTAGGTAACAAGGAAGGGGTGGCAAAATGACCGCTAAGCCCTGCGCTCCATCAGCCCTCACACCGAGGCCACAGCCTGCCGAAGGGAGGGAGGGGGACAGAGGGTCTCCCAGAACCAATGCCCCTCCCTCAGACACTGGAAGCAAAGGCCCAAAAGGCAGACACTCCCTTAAGGTCAAGGACAGATGGAGGACCAGGGTATAGGCAGCAGTGTCCTTGGGGGTGTTTTGAGGGGAACTGGTGGCAATGTGTCTTTTATCATAATACTTTTTTTTTCTTTTGGCTTTTTGAGACAGGATCTATGTAGTCCAGGCTGGCCCCAAACTCGAGGGGCCTCAGCCTCCCGAGTGCTGGGATGACAGGTGTGCGCCACCACGGCAGCTGAACAACTCCGGACAGAATTCCAAGGGGCACAAAGCAGCCACTTCTAGCCCGGAACCCCTGGTGTACGCACAGGGCTTTGCACGTCCGGATAGACAAACTCCAGGAGTGACTCCAGGAGCGATGTCATGCACTCCTCTGCCGTCTGGTGGTGCTCTCGGGAGCCGCCGGAAGCACAGGGCCTGCCAGTATCGTGCAGGACATGCAACACCCCTGGGACCATCTGGAACGCCCCACATTTCCAACCCCTCGAGGTGGCGTCCCGCCCGCGGGGGAGTTGCCCAAAGCCCACCTTTCTGCTGACCACCCAGGCGACCCTGCCCTTCCTCAGTCCCAGCAGACACCAGCCACCGCCTGGAGTGTCCCCGGACCACTGCAACAGCCGTTCTTCCAACGGGTCACCAGGGGGCGTCCTGAGACCAGGTTCTGCACAGCCGCGGGCTTGAAATTAACTGCGAATGAGGAGAGGACCCCGCAGTGGGCAGAACCATGCTCTGGGGAAGCCATCAGCCAGTGTTTGTCCAGCTTCTTCCCCACCCAGTGTTGCTTAATGCAGGGGTCAGAGCGTCATCAGGCCAGGTGACCTTTGGTACAGGCCAGTCACTCCATGTGGCCTCGTGGTGCCAGTGAGGGTTGTAAACAACAGGTGTGGGAGGCCGCTGTGGGCTAACAGCACACTGCTTTACAGCGAGCTTTCTGAAAACAACAGCATACTCAGCCAGGTATGAGGATCCTGGAAGGCTGAGGCAGGAGGATCACAAGTTCAACCCCAACTTAATTTAGCAAAACCCTGTCCTGAAATAAAATTAGATAACAGTTTGAGGAATTTATTCTGTACCTCCATCCTGGGTACTTTCCATGAAAGTTTTTTTTTTTCTTGTTTTGTTTTGTTTTGTTTTGTTTTGTTGAGATAAGGTCTTGCTATGTAGCCCAGACTGGCCTCAGACTTAGAGAGATCCTCCTGCCTCAGCCTCCCACGTGCTGGGATTGCAGGTATGCACCACCACACCCAGCCACGAACTCACTACTTTCATCTTCACCAGTAACAGTATGAGGCAGGCACCATTAGGTGATGAGCCATTTGGCCGGGAAACTGAGGCACAGAAAGCTCTGTAACCTGCCTGGAGGTGCAGGGCTGACAAGCAGCAGAGAACTGCTGAACGGTGTCCTGGAAGGGAGTCCTGCTGGCAGGCAGGATTTAGCCACCCTGTACTGCAAGAAAACAAGCAGCAAAAATGCCAGCCCTCCAGAGACCCCTAAGGGATGATGCTGAAAACATCCACAAGAAAGGAGCAGAGCCTGCCAGACGCATTTCTCTGCAGGACCTGAGCCCGGGTGCGTTCTTGGGGTCAAAGAGCATGCAGCGGTTGGGGGGACAGAGCTGATATGTGAGCCCTGTGTCCCCGGGTCCAGCTGCAAATGACCACGGGAGACCTCCACAGGACAGCACCCGAGAGCACACCGGGCCCTGGGCTGTGGACCCGGGCTGTGTGTGCAAATCACTAGAGGAGCTTGATAGTTGGGTTTCAGCACCGTGGATACCTGGGGCTAGGGAGGCCGCTCAGTGGTCTGGCGTTGGTGTAGCACTCGAGAGGCCCTGGGCTCAATCCCCACCACTGCAAAAAAAAAGGCTGGTGTCAGGCCCCCCTCTACCTCACAGGTCGTTTAAACAGCTTCTTACCAGATAGAGCCCCAGGACCCGGGTTTGGTTTTTGCTGAGATTTTTTAGTTTGTTTCATTTTGTTTTGTTTAAAATGGGGTCTCCCTATGTTGCCCAGGGTGGCCTGCAACTCCTGGGCTCAGGTGATCCTCCTGCCTCAGCCTCCTGAATAGCCAGGATGTCACTGGATGGGCTCTAAGGGGTCTGGGCAGAGTTCTTACACATATGGAAGAAACACACCTCTAAATTACTGTGGGCCCTGGAGGGAGGTGCACTGCGGCTGCGGTTGGGGACCCCAGTGTGGTCTGGGGGGTGTCCCTGCAGACCAGTGATCCATAGCACTTTCCCTGGAAGAAGAAAAAGAGGAAAAAAGGGTGGAGACAGGAAAGGGAGTGAAGCTGACCATGCCTGAGCCTGCAGGCTCCTCCTCGGCTCACAGTCTCTCCACTTCTGTCCTGCAGGTGCTGTCCTCCAGGCTGGCTGTTGCCCAGGGCTCCTTCCCCTTGGGAGAAATTATATTTTAATTTAACCCAGAATTATGTGTGTGGGAAAAAAGTGTAACAGAGAGTGTCTGGGCATGGTGGTGCACGCCTGGGAGCCCAGCACTGGGGAGCAAGACCAGCCTGAGCTACTTAATGAGACCATTTTAAAAAATGAAACAAACAGGGCTGGGGATTTAGCTCAGTGGTTCCGCCGCCTGCCTCACAAGTGCAAGGTCCCCAGTTCGATCCCTGGTTCCAAAGATAAATAAATAAAAATAAAACAAACAAGCAAAAGTGTCATTGAGAACCATCTGCCACATCACCCTGCCCCTTTGTCCCTATCAGTGGATACGGGACTGCGTGGGCCACATCTGACCCCAGACAGCCACTGCAGGGACTGAAACTCCCAGAGCTCCAGTGCCAGGGAGGTGGGGTCCCTTCCCCGGTGGGGGCCTCTTCAGCCTCTCCAGGTCACGTCCCTTGCCCCAGGAAATGTGGTCACGATTACTGTCACACCAGGTGACTCTGGGAACAGAACTGAGTGCACTTGGGAATCTGCTGCTCTGGCCAACCTGCTGACGACTTCCCCTCACTTTATTATTATTATTTTTTAATTTGTTGTTTGGTTGTTGTTTTTCGAGACAGGGTCTTGCTATGCAGCCCAGGTTGGCCTTGAATTCACAATGTAGCCCAGGTTGGCCTGGAACTCACAGAGATCCTCTTGCCTCAGCCTCCTGAGTGCTAAGATCACAGGTGTGAGCCACCACCCCTCTTCCCATCCCCTTACACTGGGATCAGACTGGGCCTCCAGAAGCCCATTGGTAAAATGCCCCCAGGGAGATGAAGGAGAACTTCCCTTCCTGTCAGCTTCAGGCCCTCGCCCCTCCGTTCCCCTCAAGCTGCCCTTGGTCACTGCTTCATTATGCCCTTCACCCACGGGGGGAGAATTGAGGCTCCCCAGGGGCCCCCTTCCTGCCCCTCAACCCCACCCACACAGCTCCCTCGCCAGCCTCCTGGGCTCGGAGCTGTGGGACTGTTCTCAGAGGGCGACACTGGAGCCCTGGCCAGGCCCCACTCGACGTCCCCAGCCTCCGAGTTTCCCTGGGACCAACAGATGCAGGTGATGCCTCCGCTACTTTCATTTCTCAGCTTTATTTTTGCAGTGCAGTGACCACATGCCTTGTGAAGAGTTGGTGCAGGCGTGTAACACATCGAAGTTCCTTCTCATCCCCTTCCCTCCCTTCATCTCTCGATCCCCTTCCCTTTTGCGAAAGATCTATCTCTGTCTCCTATTGCCTGCTTTTTATTTTGTTCATTCACTTATTTATACTTTGGGTTTCTTATATAAAATAAACCATATTTAAACTTGTGTGTCTGATTCATTTCACTTAACCTAGGGTCTCAAGATGCAGCCATTTTCCTACAAATGACACAAGTTTATCCTTCTTTTTGGTACTGGGGATTGAACTCAGGACCTTGAGCTTGCAAGGCAGGCTCGGTGCCACTCAGCTAAATCCCCCACCCTGTTTATCCTTCTTCGTGGAAGAGTAGTACTCCATTGGGTGTAAATATGACGTTTTCTTTAGCCACTCATCTGCTAATGGATATACGGGCTATTTGCAAGATTTAGCTGTTATGAATTGTGCTGCTATAAAAATGGGTGTGCATGGATCACTGTAATAGGATGCCTTTAACTCTTTCCGGAAGACACCTAGAAGGGGAATAGCTGGGTGGAATGGAATTTCTCATGTTGGTTCTTTGAGGAATCTCCACCCCAATTTCTACAGTGCTTGCACCAATCTGTGTTTCTGCTGCAATTCTGTGGTTCCTGGTCAGGGCTCTGCACCCACCTGTGTGTGTGGCTAGGCTTTCTCCTTAGTGTCCCACCCTCTTGGCTGAAGAGGTCCTGCCTGTCTTTTGCCCCGACAGACCCTGCAGAACAACTGCACCAGCGGGGATGCCCGCCTTGCACACACGGCTGAGCGCCCTTCCTGAACCCCAGAGTTGGCGCCCAGGCCCCAGCCCTGTCCCCGCCCCCCAGCCCGGGCAGCCTGGCCCTGCCCTGCCTGTGTAGATCTCCAGCCCTCCTGCCCAGGTTGCCTGTGCCCTCCCGGCTGAGCCCAGCCCTGGCCTCTGGCCGGGACAGACTGCCGGTTCCCTAGGACTCCTGTCACAGGAGGCCAGGCTCCCTGAGACCCCTGCTTTGTGTCTTCTCTCTGTGTCTCCCCACACTCTGAGCTGCAGCCGGCCGCTGTACCTCGGGCCGTCTCTCCCTCCACCCAGGAAGCCTGCGCCTTGGTGTGGTCCAGGGCACCAAGTAGGGCTGAAGAAGGCGCCATGGAAGCTGGAGCCAGCCTTCCGGATGAGGGGAGGGCGGCCAGGAAAGTGCTCAGCCAGGGCCCGCGGAGGAGTGGGGACAGAGCTTGGCTCAGACGCTGGCGTCAGAGCCCCACATGGAGACGGGGTGCGGGTGTCCAGGGACATCGGGCAAGCCAAGGACCACAGCAGGCCACCCCTGCTGCTGCTTCCGTGTCTCCGGGGCTCTTCTCCCTCCTCAGGGAGCCGCCATCTCAGTGCCCACCTGGCGCAGCCACTACCGTCCTTGGGGCTTTCGGGTCACCAAGGCCCGGACTGGGCTGGCCCTCCCACGGTACCAGCTTGCCTTGGTTTCTCCTGGATGCAGCGGAGGAGGTGGATGGTGGACAGGATTCCCCACAGGAATCCAGGCCACACCCCAGCTCCGAGCCCCCTCTGCCCCTATTGTCCTCATTTATCCTCCGCATCCAATTAGAACAAAGAAATCTGAACAGACCCTGGCTTTTGAACTGGGTGTCAGAAGCATGGAGACTCCGGGGTGTTTGGGATTGTGGGGACCATCCTGCTGGGCTGGGTGCCGGTGGGGGACCGTGGACCGGGACCTGGAGAGGGGGATGGATGGCGGGGGTATTGTGGCCTCAGAGCAGCTCTCAAGGGTGTTCAGACTCTGAGAGGGGGCCGGTGAGGGAAGAAGGGAGGGGACCAGACTCCACCTCCCACCCTGGAGATGCGGCCGCGTCCCTCAGAGCTTCAAGGACTCCGCTCCTCTGCCCCCACCTGCCCAGGCTCCCGGCTCTGTGCCCCTAGGGCCCCACTGCCTGAGCCCTGAGGGACACGGTGACCCTCACAGAGCCACAGCTGGACTTCAGGTCCCACCCCTGGCTGGCATTGAACATCATCGCCAGGAAGCCCTCACCCTGCCGGGGGGACAGCTGGACATTCAGCCAGCGGCACTGGCCCTCGTCACAGGCCAGCACCACTGTGCCCTCTGTGTTGCTGTAGGTACACCGGCTCCGGGCCGCCCTGTCAGCCACCACTGCGTCCCAGCCTACCCCGGCCAGTCTGTGGTCCGGCCCTGGGTGCCCGGACACGGGGCACACCAGCTGCTCCTCCCTCAAGGTGGGCACCACCTGGCCTCGCAGGTGGGCAGGCCTAGCACAGTAGGTGCGGGTGTGGAGCAACTGGTCGCTCCAGAGGCGCAGCCACCCTGAGAGCCAGGCCAGGTGGCAGTCGCAGTGCCATGGGTTGCCGTGCAGGGCGAGGTTGAAGAGGTTGTAGTTGGTGTTGAAGAGGCCAGCAGGCAGCGTGCTCAGCTGGTTCCGGGAGAGGTTGAGCAGCTCAAGGCTGGACAGGTTGTGGAAGAGCCCAGAGGGCAGGGCTGTCAGGTTGTTGCTGCCCAGGTGCAGCTGGAGCAGCGCCTGCAGATCCCGGAAGAGCCCGGCTGGGAGCTGTGCAATGGCATTGTGTGAGGCCGCAAGGAACTCTAGGCTGGACAGGTTGGCAAAGGCACCATCCGCAAACATCACCAGCTGGTTGTGGGACAGGGACAGGCTGCGCAGGTGCGGGGTGCAGGTGAACAGGCCAGCGGGAAGTGTCTGCAGCGCGTTGCCCTGCAGGCTCAGGGCTGTTAGGTTGCGCAGGTCAGAGAAAATGGTGGCGGGCAGGTGGTGGATGGCGTTGTGCTGCAGCCATAGCCTCTCCAGGTGGAAGAGCCCCGAGAACAGCCTCGGGGGCAGCTCTCGGATGGCGTTGCCATCCAGGAAGAGCTCCTGCAGGCTGCCCAGGTGGGCGAAGATGCCCGGACGGAGGCCCTGGGACAGCCGGTTGTCACTGAGCCTCAGGGACTGCAGGCTGGAGAGGGGGTAGAGCAGCCCCTCTGGGAGCCAGGCGAGGTGGTTCTGGCCCAGGTCGAGGGACTTCAGATGCTGCAGGGGCCGGAAGATCCGCCAGGGCAGGGTCTGGAGCTGGTTGCCCTGCAGCTGGAGGGACTCCAGGGCGTCCAAGCCGAGGAACAGGTCCTCAGGCAGGGCGTCCAGCGCATCAAAGCTCAGGGTGAGCTGGCCCAGAGAGGTCAGATTGGCGAAGGTGTGGTCGCTGAGGGTGAAGGTGCTCCCGGTGACCTCCAGGTCCCGCAGCCCGGGCAGCCCCCTGAGGGCGTCAGGCTCGAAGCGCCACAGCTGGGTGTTGAGGAAGACCAGCTTGGTGAGGTTAGGGCTGCTGCTGAAGGCCCAGGGCCCCACCTCGAGGAACGAGGTCTCCACGAAGACCAGGTCTGTGGTACCCGGGGGGACGTCTGGCGGGATGGCGGCCAGGTTCTCATCGGAGCAGAAAACCTTGTGCACGAAACAGTCACAGCCCGAGGGGCAGGGCTGGGTGGGCCTGACCAGGAGCAGAAGGGAGGCCCAGCACAGCCAGGCACCATTGGGCATCATCTGGGTCAGAGGAGAGAAAACAGAGAAGAAGCCTGTACCTCAGCAGTGCGGCCCAGTGGGCAGAGCAAAGGCCAGGATCCTGAAGACAAAGGCGGGGTCAGCGTGAGTGGGGGTCAGCCTGGGCGGGGAGGCCTTGCACATGCGCTCCATCACTGAGCCGTTTTGTTTCTGTGACACTGGGGTTTGAACCCAGGTCTTTTTCACTGAGCTCCACCCCCAGCCCTTTTATTCATTCATTCATTCATTCATTCATTTCTTCAGAGATAGGATCTCACTAAGTTGCCAAGACTGGGCTCGGACTTGCAACCCTCCTGCCTCAGCCTCCTAGAGGGCTGGGATTACCAGCCTGCGCCACAGCGCCCAAGTTCCCAGGTTATATTTTTAGCAGCTGTTTTCATGTCACCTTACAGGAGCCTTACACAATAGCTGGGGATGGACACCGTGCAAATTAGTAGCTGTGGCAGGACCCAGAGCTAGGTCTTTTGGGCCTTCTATGTTCTTCCCAGGGTGGAGCAACAAATGGAAAGGAGGCAAAAAGACAGGGAAGGCAGGTACAAAGGAGACCATGGCACGTGTGGGAACTGTCCCGATAATATGTAAACTACGGGCAGATTACCCTTGAGTGGAAAATGTTTAGCCGTGACTCTTCCTGAGTCTCCAAATCATGACACTCAGGGCCTGTTACAAGGGGCCCTGCCCCCTGCGCTCTGTGCCGTCTGCCGAGGTCACACAGCACAGGGCCAGGGCTTGGCACTGTCCCCTTGCCTCCTCCTTCCCCTCCATGGTGGAGCTGGGAGGCTTCTCAGAGTTCAGGCAGAACTGTCCCAGACTTGGGGATGTCCAGGAGGCCAGGGAGACCAAGATTCTTGTGCACTAAATATTCATTTTTTCAAAACTGCTAGTGTTTATCCACAGGCCACAAATGGATGATAAAGTTGACAAGTGTATTTTGTTTACCCCTTGGTGGTCTTTTTATTTGGTGTGGGGGGAGTACTGGGGGCTGAACCCAGAGCATTTTCACTGAGCTGCATTCCCAACCCTTTTTAATTTTATTTTGAGGCAGAGTCTCCCTAAGTTGCTAAGTTGCCCAGGCTGGGCTTGAATTTGTGATCCTCCTGCCTCAGCCTCCCAGAGTGTTATGGGTGTGCTCCACCATGCCTGCTCAGTGGCCTTTTTATATGTATCAGCAGTAACCTGCACATAAAGATTGGAAATGTCACTGAAGGGCCAGATTTCAGGAAACTCTGGGAGCAGTGGGCTCCCATTCCAAGGCTCCTTTCACATTCCAATCATGCTCGCCTGACTCATCTACATGGTTCCAAGAGTTCAAATCCCCGGTCTGCCACTTTCCAGCCACGAGACCTCTGGCATGTTATTTAGCCTACCAGCACCGTAACTTCCTCATCTGTGACATGGGGACAATACCAGCACCTACCACACTAGGGCAACGGTGAGGATAAAAAGAGCAGACTCGAGTGACACTCAGAGCAACGTCTGACAGAGCGCGAGCCATTTGTAAACTATATTAACTTCAACATTAAAAGCTGCAGCCACCACTGTTAGAGAAAAGGCTATTTGAACAATACATAGGAAAACATTGTATCTTCAAGGTAGAATACATTTGGCTTTGTCAAAAATGAAAAGGGGAGAAAGGCTGCTTGCTGCATAATCCGTTTTTCTCAGATTAGCTCCCTCACCAAGATTAGAGCACAGCCGCTGGTCGTCCCTCTGCTGCCCCCTGCCGGCGGCCTCCTCCATCTCGAGACCCTTCTAGGACGTCTCCGTTTCACCAAGGTCGCCATAAAACCTAGGACCCCGAGCACCCGCCCACTCAGACACCCAGATCCTTTCAGCTTTTCCAGGAGTGTTCCGTGTAAATCAGTAAAGAAGGGGCAACTTCTCTTGGGAGAACGCACACCTCCCTCGGGCGCCTGCGTACCTCCACGCCAGGAGGGGGAGCCAGGACTTTCACACTCCCACCCTCTGGGGGCCTGAAGGTGGCCCTGTTACAGCTCCTTCCATCAAAACCCCGGAGTCCGAAAGAAGCCCCTGGCCCAGGAAGGGCGACGGGAGCCTTGTTCCCCATTGGGACCGAGCACGAGATCAGAGGCCGGGGTGGGGAGGCTCCTAGCCTGGGCGCCTCCTGGAAACAGCGTGGCCACTCGGTGTCCAGCAGGACTGGAGCCACAGCCCAGTGCTCCCTGCATCTCCTGCTGGGAGACCAGGCCACAGCAGAGGGGCCATGACCCAGAGCCAGGGGCCCTGGGCCCCACGTCATTTCTCCCACTGGCCTGGGCCTGGTTAACCCACTGTCATTTGGAAATAATGCACTTTTTTCTTTCTTTGAGGCAGGGTCTTGCTATGCAGCTCAAACTGGCCTTGAACTCACTACGTAGCCCAGGGTGGCTTCGAACTCACAGTGATCCAGTCTCCCCAGTGCTGGGATGACAGGCGCCCACCATCACACCCAGCACAAATGATCTACTCCCAGCCCGAGACTCTGTGTTACATCACTCCAGAGTGACTAAGAGTTGGCACTTTGAAGTCAGACAGCCTGGCTCACATCCTGCCTCCATCCCTCATTTGCTGTGTGGCCTTGACGGAACTGCTTAACCTCTCTGTGCTTCATTTTCCCCATCTTCAAAGCACTGCCTTCCCTGGGGGCTTGTAAGGATCAAGTGAGGGCCTTCTTGGCAGACCCCAAGCCTGGCACACGGTGAGACCCTGCCCTACCGGTGACCCTGATTCTCTCAAGCTCAGCCTGCCCTAGGTCTGTTCTGATGTAGTCGCAGGGGTTGCTGTGGAAAACCGAATGAGATCATCTCCCCCACTGCTCCGTGGGGGCCAGGACACGTGGTCAACCGCGCCTTTCCTGCCCCTGTGCTCACGGCGATGCCCCGGAGCTCTGGAAGGGGGCTCCCCTACCCAGGGAGGCCAGCAGCCCGAGACCACAGCCCCAAGCTGCTGGTTCACGCCTGGGAACAGGACCAGCAAACGCCCACAAAAATGTTCCACACTCAGCAGGCCGGGGAAGTCTGTCCTTTCTGCGTTTTTAGAATTTTGTCTATTTCTCTTGGTTGTTTGGGTGCAAAAGGACTCCTCTCTCTTCTCAAATCGCTCCTGGATGGTGCAGTCTGGGAGTGCCCCAGCTGTCTGTCACCCACGGCAAAGCCAAACCCCACTCCTTCCCCGGGCCTGAGCGGCTGTGCTCAGCCCACTGCGTTGGCATCAGCCCCGCCTGCACGGCCAGGTTCTGCAACCTGGGCCTGGCTGGGTCACCTTTCCTCTCCTCCCAGCAAATCCATCAGGGGTTCCAGCCCCGCCCACCATGCTGCCCACGAGTCCCCAGAGTGGACAGCCCTGCGCCCCTGTTCTGCGAACCCAGAGTGGTCGTGATGACCAGGGTCCTAAGGCCCACTCCACAGCGTCAGGCATCATCGGCACAATCGACCCACACAGCCCAGGGAGCGGTGGGTTAGGCGAATTAAACACACGGATGAAGCGGAAATCTGTGATGCCTTTAAAAATTATATGGGCCAGGTGTGGTAGTGCACGCTTGTAATCCCAGCACTCGGGCTCCCGAGGCAGGAGGATCAATGGGAGTTTGAGACCAGCCTGGGCTACATAGTGAGTTCAAGGCCAGCCGGAACTACATAGTGGGACCCTTTCTCAAAAAGCATACATACATATATATTATGAAGTGTGATCAAAACGTGGTGAATGTTTAAACTTAAAAATTCATTACAGTAAAAGACACATTGCCACAGGTCCTTCTCAAAATCCTCCCCTTTGCTTTCAACACGTTCACGGAATCATTCTTGCCACTTTCTGAAGCAGTTCTCGAGTCCTCTTTTTTGAGTTTCTTCTTGAGATGTGATCAAAACACGGTGAATGTCGTTGGCTAGTGCTATCCAGCAGAAAGGCAGCTCATAAAAACACGACACTGTGTCCTCATGCACCTCATCCACTGGATCTGGCACCCTGGGACTTCTGGCTCTGCCCCAAAGTCAAGATGACCAGGAAAGGTCAATGTTTTGGATCAATTCAGGACATCAAGGCAGCCAGGACAGCACAGCTAAAGACCTTCAGGAAAGAGGACTCCAGAGCTGCTGCAGAAAGTACAAGGATGGTGGGATCAGTGCACTCAAAAGGGAGGGTGGAGAGGGGATAAATAACAACATGTCTTACTGTAATAAATGTCTTAAAAATTTATAAATATTCCACCATATTTTTCCTTTTTTCCACCATATTTTTCTATCACACATCATAGCTGTGTATCTAGTGCCCAGATGTTTGCAATATCTTCTTTTTTTTTGGTACCAGAGATCGAACTCGGGTCCTTGTGCTTTCCAGGCAGGCAGTGGAACCACTGAACTAAATCCCCAGCTCCAATATCTTTTAAAAAATCTTAAAGACCTATAATGCCTCATTTCCATTTTTAAGGTATATATGTGCATAGAAACCTTAATAGATTATATACAGAATATCTGCAGTAACTATCTGTTGGGAGCAATGCTACATAATTCCAGGGAAAAATCATTTGAGTAGGCCTAGTTCTCCTGCCTACAGGCCAGCTATGACATTCCAGACATAATTCCATTTTGGCCTCAGGTCACAACTGAGACCTCAGTGATCCTCGGATGCTGTAATGCTCCAGGACAAGACCACACCAGCAAGCGATGCCAGAGAGGAACCAAATCTTCATCTGCATAGTTCCTCATTGTTCTTAGATTTCCACTGTCCCCCAGTCTTTTTACACCTTGTTTATCCCAATGTGAAGTACTTGAACTCTGCATTCCACTTGTTACATCTGTTTCCCCATGTACTGAATAAAAGGTGCTAGAAGCTAGGGGAGTCTTTGTCTTTGCTGCCCAGAGCAGCACTGATCAGACCCAAAGCTCAGCTTCTTCTCAGTCTCATTTTTCTACCTTTCCTGTAATTCACCGTGTGCTGCCGTGGCTCACAGGAGACTAGGACTTACTGCAGAGGTTCTGGTAACGTCCCCTTCCCCTGTTCCCTACAACTATCTTTGAAAAAGAGATTTATGGGTGATTTTAATTTGGTGGGAGTTTTTGCTCAAAATGTACACTCCACATTTTCAAAAGGTGAGAAACATTATCACTTTTGTGATAAGGGGGAAAGCTCTTTTATTACCAAAATGGAGACGGTGGTCTTGTGAGTCACGAGGCACAGAGCCCAGCACCACCTGGAAGAGTGAGGCGTGGCTCTTGGCTCTGGTGGCCCCCACTGGCTCGACATACACCTGCACCAGCCCCAGCGGTGGGGGCAGCACCTGCGGTGCTGGTGCCCTGGAGAGAACAGCTGCTGCATTGGAGTAGCAGAGCTGGGGCGCTGTCCTCTCCCACCGCAGCCCCTCCAAGCCCTGGCTGACACCGCAGGGTGCCCTGGCTGACTCTCCCTGCGGCCATCTAGCCCTTTCTCATCCCGCCCCACCAGCACAAGTCTCGCCTCCCCAGAGCCCTCCTGGCCTGCTCGCCCTGAGGCTCCACAGTCCTGCTCCCTGTGTTGGATGCTTGGGCCCTTCTGCCCTGGGTCCAGCTGCAGCGCTTGGGTCCCCAGCTCTGTACCCCGCACCTGGCTCAGGTGAGCCGAATTGAGTGGGTGTGTTGGCAGCTACCTGTGACCCCAACTTTAGGCCTCCCTCTTTGTCCTACTCGGCGAGGGCCTGGTCACTGCGTCACCTGCCTGGCTCTCAGGGAACTGGTTTCCTATCCAGCCCCCCAGCCTTCCTCTGGCCCCCCCAGACCCAAGAGGACTGAGCCCATCCAGTGCTTTGCCCCCGGGGAAGGGGACCTGGGTACTGCAGCTCTGCACCTGGGGACGCCCTGAAACAGCAATGGCCACAGCCCCTTCTCCCGCCCCCAGCCTGTACACCCCCAGACCCAGAAGAGACCCAGGAGTCCTACCGTGAGGGGCCCAGTGGTGGGGATGGCGACCCAGCTCTTCCTGAGAGCAGAAGGGCGTCCTGTGTAGCCTGTAGCCAGCGGAAGCCACCCCCAGCGCCGATCAAAGTTCTAGGCAGTGGTTCCACCCCTGACGTGGCCTGAGCTTTCCCAGAATGTCACCAAGGCCACTGCACAAGGTTACAAAATGACCCTGAGCTGGTCCCGTGGTGGACAGACGCCTGAGGGGTCCGAATCCCACAAAGGGTCACACACGTGGCACCATCGGGGCCTGGAGGGAGGCTAGAATGCCCCCCACTGTGCTGGGAGAGTCCCCGCTCACCCTACTTGTGAACAGAGTGGGCCTAGGGGCCCCCCTCAGCCACCAGCAGCCCCAGGCATCTGCCCAGCCCCGGACCAACCCAGGAAGAAACCCTAAGGGGGTGTGGCTCTGTACTCTGCCTGCTGATTGGTTCATTTCACAATTTCACTAAAGCCTTTCTGAATTCCCGTGGCGGGGGCGGTTACAGTAAATTAATTTGTCCCAATATAAAGTGGGACACTTTCACTAACGACTACCCAGGAACAAGCAGTAGTTTTGAGAGGTAGGGATGCGCCTGTCTCCGGAGGTATCCAATCAGCAGGGATGAGTGTGTGATGAGTGTGTGTGTGTGTATGCAAATGTTGTAAGGTGTGCAACATGCAGGGGTGACCAAGACTAAACACTGAGGTCGCTGCCAATGACAGGAATCTATATCATTCCATTTTTAAAATTATTTATTTATTTATGGGGGGAGACGGAGCCTCTCTGTGTAGCCCAGGCTGGCCTTGAACTCGTGGCGATCCTCCCGCCTCAGCCTCCCGAGTGCTGGGATCACAGTGTGTGCAGCACGCCCCCGCTCGGTCTGCCGGCTTCTAATCAGTGCACTGTATTAGTATTTATCTCACTGTTTACCACTGTGAAGGAGCGCTGTGCAAGTGGGCAGGCCGCATCCGCCGGCAGAGGGCTGGCGGACTACAGCACGGCACTGTGGCTCAGCGCGAGGCAGGTTCCGGGTGCACACCGGGCGGAGGACAGCAGAGCTGTGCGGAGCGGAGAGTGCCCGACCCCTCCCTGGTGACACCCAGGGCAGGCTGTCGCTCTCTGAGCGGCTCTCACAGTGACCTCACCCCCAGGACCTCAGCGTGTCGCAGAGCACAAGAGAAACTCACGTTCGGCCAGTGTTCGAATCCTGGCTCTTCGGGAACTGGCGGTCCTTGCACAAGGGCTTTTCGTCCGCAAGTCCCTGCTGTGCCTTCTGTGGGACGGGTGCCGCAGGGTGCCTGGGGAGGGGTGCACGTGCGCGTGCGCCTGTGCGTGCGCGTGCACGTGTGTGAAATCAAACCACGGGTGCGTGGGACTGGAAGGACCCCAGGAGTGTTGCCCATGTGCAGAGAGATGGGCATGAGGAACCCCAGGGCTTTTAAAACAGAAGTGATAAAAACACCCCCTCCCCCATCACCCATGCTCCCAGATGCCCATGCCGTGGTTGGGGGGGGCAAACAAGGCCCCACCTCATCGTTGGAGGGGCACAGCCCTGGAATAGGGAGAACATTACTGACCCCTGTCCTGACCCAACCTCCTGGGCCAGATGTCCAACTGGCAGGAGCATAAAAAGTCTTGGAACCCAAGCAGGGTGGCCCAGGCTTGCAATCCTGGTGCTCAAGAAGGCTGAGGCAGGAAGATCTCATGAGAGTTGGAGCCCAACCTGGGCAACTGAGCAACTTAACAAGATCTTGTGTCAAATATAAAAAGTAAAAATAGAAAAGGGCCAGGGATGTAGCTCAGTGCAGAGCCCCTGGGTTCAATCCCCAGTACTGAAGAGAGAGAGAGAGAGACACAGAGATAGACAGACAGACATATAGACTGTGAGAACGGCAGGACAGTGGGGTTCAGGAGTGGAAGACACCTCCCGACCTCAGTGGCAGCCCTGAGACAAGGAGGCCTGAAGGAGGGGACCCCCATGCCAGGCTCCAGGGATCACCTTGGTCCTCACAGGGTCTTGGAGCCTGGAGCCTGGAGCCAAGCACCAGTGAGAACCCAGAGGGTGCCGACGGCTTGGCCCCAGGTCACAAGTGCAGCATGGGTGTGCACGGGTGTGCATGTGCACAGGTGTGCGTGAGCTGTGCCTTCTTCGTGCAAAGACAGATCCAGCCTGGGACTTCGGAAGCCAGGGCCGCATACCAGCTCGGCTGCTAATTCATGAGGTAACAGGAAGTTCATGTCCCATTTCAAGCCCACTTTCTTCATCTTTAAAATGGGTTGAATCTACTTTCTTTCTATATTTCTTTCTGTCTTTCTTTTTCTTTCTTTGTTTTTTGAGACAGGGTTTCTCTCACTCTGTAGTTCAGGTTGGCCTTGAGCTCACTGTGATTCTCCTGCCTCAGTCTCCTGAGTTGGGAATCGTGTGGCCGACCATGAAGAGTTCTAAGAACTCAGTTGTGCCTCTACATCCTCAGAGGAGAAACTGCAGACACACACCCAGGGAGTCCAGGAGAGGGCCGGTTTCCCTTTCTGGATGGAGGAGCAAGATCCTTCCCTGGGTTCACAAAGCTTATGGCCCCTGAGGACAAGCAAGGCCCCAGCAACTGAGGCTGTGGGGTCCCCAGCAACTGAGGCTGTGGGGGCCCCAGAAGGTAGCACCCGCTTCCGAAGGCCCCAGACGGCCCAGAGGTCTTGTGCAAAGGTTGGAGGGAGACATGAACTCACTGCAGAGTTTTAAATGAGCAAAACAGCAAGCTAGCTGTCACAGGCCTTACCCCAAGGGCGGTCGGTAATGGTTCTCACATCCGGGTGTCCAGAGAGTCCAAAGCAGAGACCAGCAAGAGCTCTGATGGCACTTTTAAATCAGTGATCCCTGGGCTGGGGATTTAGCTCAGTGGCGCCGGGCCTGCCTCGAAAGCACAAGGTCCTGAGTTGGATCCCTGATACCAAAAAAAAAAAAAAAAATGAGGGATCCCAGCCAGGTGGAGTGGCCCAACCTTCAGGAGGCAGGAGGATCATGGCAAGCTCCAGGCCGGCCTGGACTACATAGCAAGACTCTGTCTCAAGAAGCAAAACAAAACCAAGAAGCTGGTCGTCCTGCCTGTCTTTCAGCCCCTTTCCTCCAACCTTGATCCCAGCTCCACACCACACGAAGCTGCTGGTGATCAGCAAGGGGGCCTGGCAGCCCCCTTGGGCCCTGGGCAAAGGGCCCCCCATGCTGTCCCCTACTCCTCTCTCTGGGGACCATGCAGCAGCTCATTCCAACCCCAAGAGCACAACACACGCATCACCCCTTAGGGAAGGGGCTCCTGGCTTGTCCCCAATGCCCTGGCCAGACCACACATCCGAGGAGGGCTGCCCAGTGACATGTCTGGCCGCTCACTGGCAGGAAGGACAGGTGAGCTCCGAAGGCTCCCAGAAAAGTCCCTGCCCACACCTGGCTGGGGCGAGATAGCTGTCCCCAGGCCAGCCTCCAGGCCAGCAAGGAAGGCACTGCAGCGTCATGCCAGGCACAGACACTCGGACTTTCTGTCGAGACCGGCAGGGATCCCAGGGTCCCCACCTCCTCGGTCCCTGCACTGCTCATGCCTGGGTTCAGTGAGATGTGGGCCCAGGTCACAGGAAGCGCCTGGCCATGCTGGTCCTGAGGGACAAGGCCCAGGACCACACCGCAGTGTCCACCCTGAGCTCCGGGCTCACTTCCTTTGGGCCCTGGCAGCTGTGGCACATGACCTCCAGTTGCTACAGCTGTTTGGGAAACACCCTGCAGGCCCAGATGTGCCTTGGGGCCATGATATCTTTTGATGGACACCAGAGTCCCAGAAAGGGATAAACGGCCAAGAGCACTGGTCCTTATAAACAGACATTCCTACCTGGACCTTCAGGGTCAGAGTGCAAGACAGGAGGCCAGGTCATCCTGCAGCAGGGGGAGTTCTTCCTTGTCTTGTAGAACAGAGGGACCTAATACTAATAAAAGCCCACTAGAGAGCCAGGTGTAGTGGAGCGTGCCTGTAATCCCAGCACTCTGGGAGGCTGAGGTGGGAGGAACCCAAATCCAAGCCCAGCTTGGGCAGTTTAGCAACTTAGAAGACCCTGTCTCAGAATTAAGGGCTGGATGTAGCTCAGTTCAAAGGTCCTGGGTTCAAGACCCCATACCAAAGGAAAATAAAAAGCCTACCAGGACAGGGGGATGGGTTTCCAAATCCCTGTGGTAGCTGAAGTGTTCGTGGGTGGCAGAAACCTGCAATTCTCTGACACCACTGCTTTTACTCCTGAACTACAGAGAAAGACACATACTGCTTTGAGTGTAATTTTGTTTTCCAGAACTAGAGACTGAATCCAAGGACTCACACCCACTACGAAAGCACACTACCACGGAGCCACTTCCCCGGGCAGGGCCTCATTAAGTGGCCCAGGCTGCCCTCAAATTTGGGATCCTCCTGCCTCAATCTCCTGGGACTACAGGCATGAGCCACAGTGCCCAGGCAGCACAACATGTCTTTAACATGTATGAACACGTTTGTAGCAGACAGGGCAGTATCCATGTGACTCTAACTCAAGGAGGAAGCCCTGGACCCCACGGCACATCCCAGACCTGGGGCCGGGGGGCAGCTCCCATGGCCCTGCCCGAGTGCACTCCTGTCTGCTGTCTGTGGAAACATTGAGGTTTCGCTGCCGGCTGACTCATGCCCGTGGAGACCTCGCCATGGCTTTAGCAGGGCTCATGCTTCCCATTAGATATGGACATTCAGGGAGAAGATCTCATCTGTGAGCTATTTCACTTCCCCCAAATGGAGGTGAAAATTGCAAACAGATACGGGCGCATTGTGCCCATAAAAGGCAGGCCAGAGCCCTCCAATCAGTGGTGGCTCATTGGCAGGAGGGGGTGTGGGCTTCTGTGCTCAGGGCTGCTGAGCGTGCTGGCCTGGGCGGATACGATCTTGGGGGTCTTGGGGGTTAACATGCTCACCTGTCTGGGCCAGAGCCTCGGTCCTGTCTGTACCCACAGCTTCTCCTGCATCCCGGGCTGCTGGACTCTCGGAGGGGCTGGCTTGGGGGTCAGTGACGAAGCCCAGTCCCTGCTAAGAGGACAGCACTGCACTGAGAGGACAGCGCTCTGGTAAAATCTGCGGACATGGGGTCCTAGCGATGTTCTGTAGTATCTTACTCTGTGTGTGTGTGTGTGTGTGTGTGTGTGTGTGTGTGTGCATGTTTTGTTTTGAGAGTTTCACTATGTAGTTCTGGCTGTCCTCAAACTCACGGCGATTCCCCTGCCTCAGCCTCCTGAGTGCCAGGATTCCAGGCGTGCACCACCACTCCCAGCGACATTGTTTCTTGGTCTGATGTGTATTACACAGATCTGCTGTGCTTGTGGAACCCATCCAGCTGCACACAATTACATCCCACTTCCTGCTATGAATACTAACTCCAGCACAGAATCAAAAAGGAAAACCCTCAGGGTGGATGGGGTCACCCGGCGCGCTAGGTTCCCCTCTCCATCCAGGACCAGTCAGCTGCTTTAATGTTTTTAGAAGTCAGAAACTCTAAATCATTTTATTCCGTAAAGGCTAACATTTTCCAAGTTTGGAAATTCTCTACAAGGCCGAGTGTGTTGAATCGGTGGCTTCGCTCCTGCTCCAGGTAACAATCACCAGATAGAAGCAGAGGCCAGCGCCGTGCCAGGAGGCAGGTGGCCGGGCTTCCTGCTGCTGTTGTGCCCAGCAGCCTTCGAGCCAGAGCACTGCCCAGCTCGGAAGAAACCGGCAGCCTGGTTCTGGGCCCTCCTGGGGAGAGAGCCCACTCTGCCTTGAGAGGCAGAAAATCAAGGGCAGAATTTTCATCTGAGGGGACAGCATCACGCCAGCAGGCAGGAGAGAAGAGCAGGGAGGTGGACTTCCGGAACCTGAGGAGGGGCTGTTCCCAGGACCGACCCAAAGCCAGCCAGCGGGCTCTGCCGGCACCGCGTGGGGCCCGGGCGGAGACAGCTGTTCTTGGAGAGAAGGTGGGGACCGAGCATGTGCCCTGGGGATCCCCCAGACTCCCCCATGGCCCAGTGGGTCTCGCTGGGGGACAAAGTCCTGCCAGACTGCTTCTCCCAGGAAGCCGGGCTACTGCATGGCCCAGGGCCGCGGGCAGAACGGTCACAGTCCCAGGCCCTGCCCACGAAGCCCGCTCCTGCCCAGCCCCCCTAACACTCGTTGGGGGCCTTCATCTGCATCATGACTGCCTGACTCCTCTTCTTACAGCAGCAGCAGCAGATGCAGGCAGCGAGGGAGCAGGCCAGGGCCACGATGCCAATGACGATGGCGGCGATGGCCAGCCCGCTCGTGCTGTCCGTATCCCGGGCGCCGGTGCCCCCGGTGGTGGTCAGGTCGGTGGAGTCGTCCACAGCGCTGGTGATCTCCGTGGTGGTGGAGACGGACGTGATGTCATGATAGCCGGGTGTGTCCGGGTACCGTGGCGTTTCCGGGTAGATGGGCACCTCGGGGACGGGCGGGGCCTGGGCGCTGGGGATGGCGACATTGACGTTGATGATGATGAGGGACTGGCCTCGGACGTTGGCCGGGCTGGAGCACACCGGGAGGGTGTCGGTGCCCAGCCGGGCCCTGTTGATCAGGAGCCAGTTGCGGAGCGGCAGGATGTCTGCGTCGCACCTCCAGGGGTTGTCGTAGAGCCGCAGCTCACACAGGTTGCCCAGGTGGTCGAAGATGCCCAGCGGCAGGTTCTCCAGCTGGTTGTTCTGCAGTTGGATGGTCATGAGCCCATTGATGTGGGCGAAGAGGTTGCCCGGGAGCTGGCGGAGGCGGTTGTTCTGCAGGGAGACGTTCTGCAGATTGGCCAGCGCGCGGAACACACTCCCGTCCAGGTCCTGCAGCGCGTTGGTGTGCAGCGACAGCTCGCGGAGCTCCGTGAGCCCATTGAAGGCGCCGGGGGAGACGAAGGTGATCTGGTTGCGGCTGAGGATCAGCACTTGCAGCTGGTCCAGGTTGCTGAAGACATTGTCGGGCAGGGTGGTGATGTGGTTGTCGTAGAGCCAGAGCTCGCGCAGGTTGTGCATGGGCCCGAAGATGCCCGGCAACAGCTCCTTGAGGGTGTTGCCGAACAGCGTGAGCCGGTTGAGCTGGGGCAGCTGCATGAAGATGCCAGGCGGCAGCTGGGAGATGTGGTTGTTCGACAGGTAGAGCCGCTGCAGGTTGCGGTTGTTGTGGAAGAGCCCAGGCGACAGAGCCCCGATCTGGTTCTGCTGCAGGGCCAGCTCCTGCAGGCTGCCCAGCCCATCGAAGGTGCCCACAGGGATGTCGGCCAGCCTGTTCTCATACAGCCGCAGCACCTGCAGGTTGCCCAGGTGCTGGAAGACACGCGGTGACAGGTGGGTGAGGCTGTTCTTGCCCAGGTTGAGCTTGGTGAGCCCCACCAGGTGGTCAAAGACGCCATCGGGGATGTACTCCAGGTGGTTCCCATGCAGCTGCAGCTCCTTGAGGTTGCTGAACGGCGAGAAGTGGGCCGGCTGGATCTGCACCAGCTGGTTGCTGGACAGCAGCAGTGACTCGAGGTTGTCCAGGCCCTGGAAGAGACCGACGGGCAGGACCTGAAGCTTGTTGTTGGCCAGGCTGAGGTAGCGCAGCGAGCCCAGGTTGCGGAAGGTCCCAGGCAGGATGCTGGACAGCTCGTTCTTCTCGATCCGCATGGCGACCAGGGCCGAGGTGTTGAGGAACGGGGCCTCGCTGAGCTCGGTGATGTGCGTGTTGAGGATCTGCAGGCTCATGGCGTTCCAGGGCAGGGGTGTGGGCACCACCACGATGCGCGCGCCCGTGCACTCCACCTGTGAGGTGCGGGAGCAGGTGCACTCGCTGGGGCAGCCATAGGAGGCTGAGGCGGCTGCCCAGGCCTGGCAGCCCACCAGCAGGAGGAGGTAGTGTTTCAGCGGCATGGCCTGGGGAGGACGAGAGCTCAGCTTAGTCAGGGTTCCCAACCAATGGCACTGCAGTTACCGGGTTTTGTCTGGTCTTTGTTTTCCTTTGAGACAGGGCCTCAATATGTAGTCAAGGCCGTTCCTGAACTCACTTCATAGCCCACAAATGCATGGCGATCCTCGTGCCTCAGCCTCCTGAGTGCTGGGAACACAGGCATGTGCCATCAAGCCCAGCTTCCCAAGGCTACTTTTAAACCTACACCAACCTTCAGTTTCAACAGGGGCTGGGCTGGAAGCCCTGTCCCCTGCACCCCACCCTGCGCTCCCGCCCATTTACTGCCCAGGCAGGCACCCCACACAGAGGGCTCCTGGGGCTCCTCCAGGCCCTCCCAGCTCCTAGCTGGTACCAATGTGATGGCCTCTTGTCAGCTAGGCGCGTGCAGCCACACCCAGTGAAGCCCATGAAGAAGGGTAGGCAAAGAGATGGGACTGTCTGCACCCCGGCCTTGAACTCACTATGTAGCCCAGGCTGGCCTCAAACGCGAGGAGAGCGTCCTGCCTCAGCCTCCAGAGTGCTGAGATTCCAGGCGTCCGCCACAAAGCCCAGCTAGTGCTACAGTCTGACCTTGAGTTTGACCTTAAAGCCGAAGGCCTCTGAGCTTCAGCTTCCTCCTCTGTGAGGGGAGAATGCTGACCTCCGCCCACCCCCAGGCTGCTGTGGGCAGCAAAGGAGAGAAGAGAGGGGAGCCCCGGCACAGGGTGGTCCCACGCACGGGTGCCTCCTGCCAGGCTCCTCCTGGGCTCAGCTGCGGCTCCCAAAGGGCTCAGGGTGCTGCCGCCCCAACTGGCTGATGGAAAGACTGGCATTCCCGCCTGCAGGTTCCAGGGCCTGAGTTCAAAGGGCCCGGGCCTCCTGCAGCCCAAGGCTTGGCTGCTCCTCATCGTTTTACTGGGCTGCAGGACTAGGGAAACTGAGGCTCAGGTCTCACAGCCGGCTCAGGGGCTCCGGGAGAGCTCTGGGGCAGCAAGGCACAGTCTCTCTGATGCTCAGAACCCTGAGTCAGAGGGTGGAGGCCCGAGCTGGAGCCCCAGCCTCAGCCCAGGCACCACTGGAAGCCCAGCTTTTCACTCCTTCACAGCCCCCCAAGCCCTCCATCCTTCATCAAGGACTTGGCAAAGGACTGAGGCAGTGGGGAAGAAATAAGAGAAAAGAGCCAGGCGTGGTGGCGCACACCTGTGATCCCAGCACTCAGGAGGCTGGGGCAGGAGGATCGCCCAGTTTGCAGGCCAGCCTGGGCTACCTAGGGAGACCGTTTCAAAGAAGGAAAGAGAGAGAAAGAGAGACACAGACTGACTCAGTGTCCTTGGGGCTGTTTTTGTCCTGTTTCACAGTAATAAAGAAGGAGCCCGCCCACAGACACTCCCGGGAGCTGGGACAGAAGTACCAAGAGTAGGAAATGTGGTCTCCAGCTACACAGAGTGATCCGGCCACACCTGCATGTTCAGCGCCACTCTGAACTTCACACAAGGTCAATGGCAAACTGAGAATTTGTTTTTTGGTACTGGAGATCAACCCCAGGGCCTCTGCAGCACTAAGCTATCACTCCAGCCCTTTTTCATTTTTTAAAACAGGATCTTGCCATGTTGCTAAATTGTCCAACTTTTGATCCTTCTGCCTCAGCCTCCCAGAAGGCACACTGGACTTCTGAAGAACTTGTAGAGGATGACGAGGGGCCCAGACCCCAGAACATCTGAGCACCCATTAGGGAGCTGCGGAGGAGTAGCCACAGGAGAGAGGACACGCAGAGTCCACTCTCTTCCTGAGTACCGTGGGCTAAAGAAACAACCTAACCGTGCGCCTCCAGGTCGGGCCAGAATGCTGCCGTCATTTCACCAGCAGCACGAGTCACCGCAGCATCATGGACGACCTCGGGGAGGTGGGGAGCTCCCTGGGCGGGGAGCATCCACGCAGGGCCGAGCACCCGCTTGACAAGGAAGCCGTCAAGAAGATTCCCACAGCTGCTGAGGCTCAGACCGGAACCGCCACCGGCCTCTGCATCCCTGATTCCAGGACTCAAGTGCCGATTTTTTTTTTTCCCCGCTTTGTGTTTTTGAGACAGGTTCTCTCTATGTAGTTCAGGTGGGCCTTGAACTCATACATAGCCCAGGCTGGCCTGGAACTCACAGCGATCCTCCTGCCTCAGCCTCCCGGGTGCACCTAGCTCTAGCGGGTTTATTTTTCATGTACACTCTTCTGCCCGGCGTGCCCTGAAAATGTGTCACAGCCCAGCACCCGGGAGTGCCACTCTGTAAGGCAAAGGAGAGGGCAGGCGGAGGGTTCCCCAAGGAACCCATAGAGAGGAGGCCTGGAGCCAGCCCTGGAAGGACCACGCCAAGGGAATGGAGCCATATTCCGCCCCCGGCGGGGAGGGAGCGGGCACACACAGAGACTCAGGGACCACACTCGGTGACAAACACGACCAGCATCTCCAGCTGTCTTCTCAGAAACCTCACCCTGCGCAGCCCACCCAGCGCTCCGTGCAGCCGCTTCCTGCTTCCCAGCACTGGTGAGGCCACAGCTGGCACTGCCCAGCCAGACGCCCTCCATGGAGCCCCCATCCGGTGCAGACCTTCCGGGGACAAAGGGGGCCCTGGGCAGGCCTGGCGGCCCTGGCACACAGCCGCCTAATAGCCCACGCCGCCTGACAGCTGTGAGGTCGGCAGTTACAGGGCAAAGCGGCCGTAATTACACCCTGCGCCCGAAGTGAGCGTCCTCAATCTTGGCAGGGACTCGGCCAGCCCTGTGCAGCCCGGGGCAGGGGGTGCCCCTGGCATCCATCGCTGGCCCATGAGGTCAGCGAGCCGGGCAGACAGACGGGGGACAGACAGCCAGCTCACCTGGACACATGCACCCCGCCCCAGGGACAGGAGCCGCTGAAGCAGGGCAGGAGCCGCGGGCCTCAGCAGAAACATCCTGTGACTCTGATCAGCGAACACATCATTAGCCCGCAAGCCCGGGCTGGCCTTTCTCAGCTGATATTTAACATCCTCCACAGTGCCTGAACACCCAGTCCCCCGGCAGGCTCTGTCTTTCTTTGTTTTTTGCTTAGTTCTTTGTTTTGAGACAGAGTCTCACTACGTAGTTCAGGCTGGCCTTGAACCCACTATGTAGCCCAGGCTGGCCTCACACTCCAAGATTCTCCTGACTCAGTCTCCCGAGTGCTGGGATGACGTGCATGCACCACCACATCCAGCTATATACCCCTCTCTCCAGGCTCACTTTGCCTCAAGTTCCCCAGCAGAGCGATCCCGCCAGAGCCATTTCACCCCATCTTCACCCAGCCAACAGCTGTTCCAGGGGACCCAGGACCTGAGAGGGTCCTGCCCCACCCAGTGCACATGGGGAGATTCAGGCCTGGGAAGGGGACCACTCTTCCTGGCCTCTGCCCTCTCCCTGCACAGGGCCTCCTGAGCGTGGCCTCATGGGGCATAAGCTGGACCCTGGCCAGGCTGCAGGCACCCCCTCCCAGCCAGGGAGCCCGCAGTCAGGCTGCTCCTCGGTGCTCGTGCAAAGGGTCTGAGGTCACCATCTGAGAAGCCCTGCCTGGAGCTCAGCCTGCAGGGTGTCCGGCCCTCTGTCCCGCTCACCCTGCCCGACTGTCCAGAGCAGCAAACAGGAATGGCCAAGGAAGCATCCTCACTAGTCTAGACCTCACCGCTGTGCCACTGGGAGCATTAAATGAGTCCATACACGAGCCGGGCATGGTAGAGCTCACCTCTCACCCCAGCACTAGGAAGGCTGAGGCAGGAGGATCTCTGGGAGTTGGAGGCCAAGACCCTGTCTCCAAACAAAAAACAAAAAAGAACCCAGGGCCCTCTGAGAGCTGGTCAAACCATCCTGCCATTTCGTAGATGGGAAATGGTGGAGGAGACCGCCCGAGGTCACACGGTCAGGTCAACATTCCTGGCACCTGATCAGGGGCCCTAACTGTGGAGCATAGTGAACCCTTGAACCTCACCACAAGGCTTCAGGACTTGTCCCCTCCCCTCTGCCCGTGCTGCAGGAAAACAGGGGGCTCTGTTCCCTCCATCTTTGTTTGTTTGTTGTTCTGTAGTTCAGGCTGCCCTTGAACTCACTATGTAGCCCAGGCTGGCCTGGAACTCATGGCAACCCTCCTGCCTCAGCCTCCCAGGTGCTGGGATTACAGCTGAACACCACCACGCCCCTTGTTCCCTCCATTTTAAACTGCCAGGACTCCTATACAACCCAGCCTCCACTTGTCCAGCGCTATTCTCCCATGCCATGTTCCTCTCCACTTCTGGGGCTGTGTGGCTTGGGGGACTTCTCCCCTAAAGCTCCTCTGGTGTGTGTCATGGTCCCATTTCACCCTAGTGGCCTGGAGGAGGAGGTGGGAAGGGACAGGAGTCACCTGAAGGGGTCAACTTCCCCAGGACAAAACTGGCCCACCCTTACCCTCTGCCTGGCTCCATATTTGACTCCCACCTCTCACAGGCCTGCAAAGCCAAAATGCTGTTCACTGTTCTAAAAAAGAAAATGAGTGAGAAAAAGCAAATCCTCCCCAGCCCCTCTGTGGGGAATCCTCCCTCCCGGGGATGGGGGAGGTGGAACGCAGCTTCCTGTGGAGGCCAGAGCAGGGCTGTAATTAGCTTGGGAAGAGTGGCAGCCCAGCAGGGAGGACTTCCTAGGGCTTTTATGTTTGGGGAGCTCTGAGACAGGTCTCACTGTGTAGCCCAAGCTGGCCTTGAACTCAAATCAATCCTTCTGCCTCAGCCTCCCGAGTGCTGGGATGAAGCAGTGCACCACACACCTGGCTCCCAGCACTTTCAAACACCGCCCCTTCTCAGCAGCACCCAGGAGCCCAGCACTGCTGGAAATGGACCAGCCCCCGATCAAAGTGTGCTGGAAACAGTTTCCCAATTCCACATCCCAAAACCAAGTGAGCCCCTGAAGCCTGTGGTCAGGATCTGGGATGCAAATTGTAGTCACGGCTCCCAGCGCTTCCTGGCAGCTTCTCGGCCCTCTCTTTCTTATTTCTGCACATCTGGATGACTTCCGCCTCCACCTCGACATCCTCCCACCCTCGTTTACAGAGCAGGACAAGCAGGGTCCCCAGCCTGGGGAGCAGCTCCCGGGGCCTTCTGCAGGGTCCGCACGGAGCCCTGGGCCCCAGCCCCGCTCCCACCCGCTGCGTCACTGTCCCCACCGAGCCATCCGGGCTGACTCAAGACCACAGGCAAATTGGGCTGTCTGGCCCCGAATCTGCCCCAGATGTGCGGTGGACCCAGGATGCAGGTCGTGCCTGCCACTAAGGAACAAAAGTCTAAGTTCCCGGCCACTGCACCACGCATCAGAGAGTGCTGGAGACAAGGTGGAGCCACCCCAGATAACCTGGAGCAGGAGTGGAGCCGTGACTGGGTCATCGCGGGGAGCAGTCCGTCTTGGGGACCAGGCAGCACCCAGGAGAGAGGCCCTGTCCATCGGGCGCTTCCCATCCCCTCGCCACAAGGGCTCCAACGCCGACACCCAGGCCTGGGAGCCGCCAGACCGGGCTGCCTCAGCCACTCGGAGCTGGAACCCGGCTCTCTGGGTGAAGCCCACCGGGGACCGGAGCTGCGGCCTGCCGAGGTCACTTTGAGGACTGAGTCAGACCCAGAGCACCCCTGGGGACCCGGGGGGAACCAAGGTTTCATGGGTCGGAACAAACCAGAGGCGGGGCAGGGCCTGGGGCCACCACGGTCCACGCAGGGAGAGGGGACTCGGCTTCAAATGGGCTGAGCCTAACCAGAGAGACACCCAGCGCAGGGCGCAGTCCAGAGGGGTGACGCTGGGTGGGGGTACTGGGGGTGACGCTGGGGAGCTGGGATGGCCGCAGGCAGCTTCAACCCAGCAGTGCACCCCGAGCTTCCCAGCCCGGGGCCCAATCACCCACGGTAAGGATGGGGCCTGCAGGGGGACGGGGCTCCTCCCGCTGCCTCCTCCTGGCCCCCACCCCAGGGGACTTGGCCCTTCCCGCCTTCCCTCCGAGCCACTCACCAGAGCTCGGCGCCCACGCCCGCGGTCGCGATCACCAGGGAGCCGAGTGGGGCTCATGGCTGCAGCATGAGTGCAGCGGCCCGGGCGCTCCGCTTTTAAGCCGCGGAGTCGGGGCGGGGCTGGTCGGGCGCGGCGCCCCCTGGGGGAGGAGGGGAGGGGCGGCCCCACCTCCGCGCGGTGTCCCCGGGCTGCCACGTGGCTCTGGGAGGGGCTCCCCGCACTTGTCCCTGCCGGGGACCCCAGGCCCAGGCGGTCCAGCCCAGACCCCGGCACCGCCTGGCCCGCAAAACTGTCCTGGTTGTCCTGGTTCTCCTTTCTTTTGGTACCGGGGATCAAACTCAGGACCTTGGGCTTGCAAGGCAGGCAGCAGAACCACTGAGCTAAATCAATCAGTCTCTCTCTCTCTCTCTCAATCTCGCTCGCTCTATTTTAACTTTTTTTTTTTTTAAGGACATAGCTTCAGATTTACAGAAACTTTGTAAAAGTCATGCAAGGGACACTCAGGCTCAGCCCAGTTCACCTGTGGGTAACGTTTTGGAAAAGAGCATTTCTCTTCATTTCCAAGGGAAAGATAAAGATGATCTCTATGGTGCCCCTGGAGACTGTAACGCTAAGGGAAATAAATCAGACACACCAGCTTAAATACCACCTGGGATTAAATGCCACCTCTTACCTGGGAAACCCACAGCGGAACTAAGAGCAAAGTAAAATGGATAGCAGGCAGGAGGGAGATAGAGGCCCTCAGGTGGCAAGGGGGCCAAGAGACAGAGGGCAAGGGGAAGGGGAAGCGAAAGGAATTAAGGTGTGTTCTGTGCATCACCAGCTCCACGCGGAGAAGAAAGTCATTCTGCACTGCAAACATGGACTGATAAACATTTTTTAAAAATAAATAGTGCAGGGCTGGGGATTTAGCTCAGTGGTTCTGGCACCTGCCTCACAAGCACAAGGTCCCGAGTTCGATCCCTGGTACCAAAATAATAAATAAATAAATAAATAAATAAATAAATAAATAAATAAATAGTGCAACGTTAAAAACAAAGGAATTACCCCTATAGGGTCCCTCCAAAACGGCGTTTCCATTTCTTTCTGGTGTCTAGTCTCCTCCTGGGCTCATTTTGCCCCCTCCTGGGTGAGGGAACACACAGGTCTCGTTCGCAGCGGGGGATAGCAGCTGAGGGGCGTACCTATGATTAAGGGGTTCCCCTGTGCCCTGCTCTGTAGCCGCCCCTGTCTGCCACTATCCCATATCCCCAGAAGGGGGACCAAGATACCTCTGCTGAGCCAGATGTGGTTGCACACATCTGAAATCTCAGCACTCGGGAGGCTGAGGCAGGAGGATCCCCAAGAGTTTGAGGCCAGCCTGGGCTATATAGGCAGACCTTGTCTCAAAAAAAATGATACCACTTCTGTTCATGGTGTTGCCAAGAGGGGTCTGGGGTGGGAGACAAGTCACAGTTGGGGGGTGGGAGCCTATCAAAGCCCCCCACCCCCAGGCTCCCTCCGATCCTGGCTCAGTTTGCCCTCCAAGCCAAGTGTGGAGAATGCTATTTACACAGAGCACCTCCCCAAGCTCCAGGACTGAGAGCCTTAATTACTGTTTGCCCTGGGCTTTGAGACCCGATGAAAGGCGACATAAAAGTGCCCAGTGTCATTAGGGACATAGTCATTTTATTTGGGCGGGCGGCACATCCAGCCCTGCAGCCTGAATCATGCGCATTCCTCCCTCCTCCTGCCCGGGCCTGATTCACAGGCACACACGGCCCTGAGCGGGGGGAAGCAGGGCGGCCAGGTGTAGGACGGAGTCCCTGCCACCCGGCCTCAGCCTCACCCAGTCCCGGGGTCCCCTCCACGTGCTGTTCCCTTGTGTCCCCCAAGCCTGCACATCCCACGCAGGGCGGCAACTGCCAGTCCTTCCGGCCTGTGTGACCCAGACCGCCCCACCTTTCCTTCCTCCCCCGGGTCCAGACCCTCCGCCGCTCGGGGCCGGGCCCTGGGCTGTGAGCTGTGGACAACACAGGATGGGTCACAGACAAGGAGGGACACGGACCCCAGGGGACCTCATTCGTCTTGACACCGGATCTTCCTGCCTCAGCCTCCCAGGTGCTGGGATGACAGGTGTACACCACCAGGCCCGGCTGCTTCTTAGTTTTGAGGAGCTTGACTGCATCCCTGGCTTCTACCTCTAGATGCCAGTTGCATCGCCCACACCACGTCATTGCCAGATGTCCCTCTGGGGTCACACGCACACACACAGTTAAGAGCCACTGATCCACAAACAAGGAAACTGAGGCCAGGCCAGCTACCTGACTTCCCCGAGGCCCTACACCAAGTGGCAGAGCCGGGCACTGAGCCCCCGTCTACAAACTGTGCACCCTTTCCACCCCCACACTTGAGTGTGGGACACGCAGCTGCTACGACACAAGTGTGGCCACATCGGGGCCACGCAGAGCGGGGATTTGCAATGAAGATGGGGTGAAGTCCTCGCCCACAGCCAGGAATGCGGGTGCATTTCAGGGGCTGGCACCGCAGTCCCGTATAGAAGATGGACCTAAAATTTGGACAGGAAGGCGGTTATGGCAGTGCGTGCCTGTAATACCGGCACCTGGAGGCCGAGGCAGGAGGATTGCCACTAGTTCAAGGCCAGCTTGGGCTACATAGTGAGACCCTGTCTCAAAAAAAGAAAGAAGAGGAAGAAGAGAAAGAAGAGGAGGAAGAAGAAGAAGAAGGAGATGGAGGAGGAGAAAAGAGAAGAAAAAAATGCTGGCAGGACTTGGAAGCACGGGGCAGTGTGTTTGAATGGGAACAAGGAAGCACTGTACCAGATGCCCAGCTTGGCTGCAGCCAGGTTTGCAGTGCCGGCTTAGGAGGGCGGGGTGGCTCCCTGGGAGGAAGGGACCTTCTTCGGCAATAGCCATGGCAGGTGCTGGAGGGAAGGAGAAGCACAATGAGGGCCTTGCAGCAGGAAGAGTGTTGTGTCGGGGTTTCCAGGTTTCCTGGAGGACCCTGAAAGCACCCAGCTGCCCCTCCAGTCCACTTGACAGGACACAGGCTTGGTACAGGGACCGGGCCATGCAGGAGGGATCAGTTATCCAGACTGGGGTCTCACAGGCATCCCACCACAAGACTCTGAATCTCAGCACTGGGGAGGCTGAGGCAGGAGGATCTCTGTGAGTTCAAAGCCAGCCTGTGATACTTAGTGAGATCCTGTCTCCAAAAAAAAGGAGACAATGGTATATATATATATAAATGCACACAGAAAAATGTTAGAAGAATAGAAGAATATATACAGAACTGCTACAATATTAGTGAGATGGCTTCTTTTTTATAACTGCTATGTATTTTTTGATACATGGAAATAAACTTGCATTCTTGACTTGCATCTAGTAGGTAATTAGGACAACTATTTTAAAATATAAAAATAAAGCACTAGTCAGGTACAGCAGCACAAGCCTGTCATCCCAGCTCTCTGGGAGGCTGAGGGAGGAGGATTGAAAGTTCAAGCCCAGCCTGGGCAACTTAGAAACTTGGCTACACTTTGTTTGAAAAGATAAAATTAAAAAAGGCTCAGAGCCAAGGTCCTGGGTTCAGTTCTCAGTGGGAAAGAAAGAAAGGAAGTTTTGTTTCTTTCTCTTTTCTTGCAGTACTGGGGATCGAACTCAGGACCTTGCACATTCGAGGGCCACTGATCCCTCCAAAGGCTCCTCACCCCATTCTTCGAAACTTAGAAGAGGTTTAATTTTGTGCATGGTGTTCAGCTCCAGGCTGCATTTCCCTTGCAGGAAGGAGCAAACACATGACTAAGTTCTGGGCTCTGGATGGGAGCGGGAATGATGCATGGGCTTCCACATCATGCCCTAGAGCGAAAGAGTGAGCTTCCTCTTAGGCTGGAATACAGATGTGAGGGCAGGAGGCAGCGCAGCCATTTTGGACATTAGAGGGCAACTGTGGGATGACAGAGCAATAGACAGACAAACAGGGCCTCATTCCCAGTAGAGCCGAACTGTGATTCCACCTCCAGGCAGGATATGAGCCACCACGTCCTTTAACTCTTGCTGTGTTTGGCTTACCTGGTTATGGCGGCCTAACCTGTATCCCAGCGGCCCCACCTGGCACCATGCCTCCCCATCACCATGTCTCCCGTGAGCGAGGATTCCCTTTGTCCCCACAGGTCTGGCTCCGCTGAACCCTGCATCACCTCCCACCGGAGCCATCACTTTTATCTGCTGTCCCTGCTTCCACCTCCCCTGCCCTTTCCTGTGCCCAAACCATCCATCCCCGGCCCAGTGTCCTCGACCTTGGGGTCACTGCTGCCCCGGTCCATTGGCACTGTCCTAGTATGGGCCATGAGTCCCAGTGGAAGGTAGGGTGGCTGGGCTGAGCCACTGCTCCACCCTGGTGCCCTTGTCCCCTGAGGAGCCCAATGGCCGGGGCCTGGACACAGATGGCTGAACAGGGGTGACGGTGGCAGCCTTGTCTGGGACGCCCAGTGCATCTGAACCCCAGACCTCGGCTGCACTGGTGATGGAAGAGGTCGAGACCCAGCAGTGGCGCTGACGCTGGCCCCCACCCAGCCTGGGGCTTCAGGCCCACCATAGGGCGGCAGGCTCGGCCTGTGCTGGAAGGCGTGTGTGTGTGTGCGCGTGTGTGTGTGTGTGTGTGTGTGGACTTGCGCCTCCCGGGGAGGCTGCTTCTATGGTCTGTGTAGAGCTAGGTGAGGAGAAGGTTAGGAAGCCTGGTGAGGTGGTTCACAACAGTGATCTCAGCACCTGGAGGCTGAGGCAGGAGGATCTCCATGAGTTTAAGGCCAGCCTGGGCTACATAGAAAAACCCTGTGTCAAAACAAAAAGAGGCAGCCCAAGGTCCCCAGTGCCACTGAAGAGGAGCCCAGAAATGGAGGAGCCCGGCGGGGAGGCATCCGTGGGGAGGGCAGGGAGGAAGCCAGCGGGCAGGGACACACTTTCTGTCCTTGTCCTTTCTTACAGGTTCCACTGTGCCGAGCGGGAGCTCAGAGCCCCCATTCCCCCCTGTGGTGCTGCCCCATCACCAGGGCCGCCCCCCTCGGGTGATGGAGTCGTGGCCTGGAGCCCTCCTTCCTGTCC